GGTGGCAATGGCCGTGGTATACCTGGATTTTGCAAAAGCGTTTGACACAGTTCCCGACACACAGCTAATGTGTAAGGTAAAGTCTACAGGCTTGAAAAAAATCAGTATGTAAATGGATTGAAAACTGGCTAAAAGATCATATTCAGAGTGGTTAATGATTCATACTCTGAATGGTCTAGGGTTGTTAGTGGTGCACCCCAAGGTTCAGTGTTGGGACCCTTACATATTAATATACAGTATATATATAAATGATATAGGGTCTGGTATTATAAATCCCATTTCAGTCTTTGCAGATGACACCAAGCTGTGCAGTTGAATAACGTCCTTACAGGATGTCTCCAATTCATAAGCTGACCTCAATGCAGTTTAATTGGGCAACTATGTAGCAAATGAGGTTTAATGTTGATAAATGTCAGGTTATGCACTTGAGGGCTAAGAATATGCATGCATCATACATACTAGGGGGAGTACAACTGGAGGAATCAATGGTGGAGAAGGATCTGGGAGTTCTGGTAGATCACAAGCTTAATGCAATGTCAAGCTGCGGTTTCTAAATTGAGCAAAATCTTCCCTTGTATTAAAAGAGGTATAGACTCAAGAGAGAGAGTTCATTTTACCCCTGTAAAAAATCATTACTAAGACCTCATCTGCAATATGCAGTTCCATTCTGGGCACCAATTCACAAAAAGAAGATTGGGGAACTGGAGAAAGTACAGAAAAGAGCAACCAAACTGATACGAGGCATGGAGGAGCTCAGCTATGAGGAAAGATCAGAAGAACTGAATTTATTCCCTCTTGAGAAGAGAGATTAAGGGGGGATATGATCAACATGTAGAAATACATCAGTGGTTCATATAGTAAACTCGTTGTAGAGTTATTCACCTTGAGGTCATCACAGAGGACAAGGGGGGCACTCTTTACATCTGGAGGAAAAGAAATTTAATCTCCAAATATGGAAAGGTTTCTTCAAAGTAAGAGCTGTGAAAATGTGGAATAGATTCCCTCAAGAGTTGGTTCTGGCCAGCTCAGTGGATTGCTTTACAAAAAGGCCTGGATTATTTCTTTAATACACAGAATATAGCTGGTTACTAACATTTATAGGTAAAGTTGATCCAGGGAATATCCAATTGCCTCTTGGGGGAACAGGAAGGATTTTTTTCCCCTGCAGGAGCAAATGGTATCATGCTTTGCTGTTTTTTTGCCTTCCTCTGGATCAACTGTGGGTGTAGGATTACAACTTTTTTTTTATGGTTGAACTGGATGGACGTTTGTCTTTTTTCAGCCAGACTAACTATGTAACTATGTAACTCCACAAAGGTCACACAAAGCTAGTGCAACCTTAGTGCTCTTTTCCATTCAAATTATGCAAGCATGATGAGGTTCATTTTGAGGGTCATTGTTTCTGATCTATTAGGTTTTGAATCAAAGACCAACAATTTTCTAAAGCACTTTTTTCATTCTTCATTCCATTTATTTTTGCTAATATTACTGTTGTCTTTTTTGTATATTATCTTTTTTCTGCAAATATTTTTGTTTGCACTGTTTATTTTTCAATTAAAATTGCTAAGCCTTTTCTCTAATGCACTAGACCAGAACTTAAAGGATTTGTGGCTTTTTTAGCAGATTAGGTTAATGTATTAGGGTACATTTGTGCAATGAGGTGCAAATGTAATCGATGAGCTGGCAGAAAAGAAGGATAAGAAAGCTAGCCACTGGTGCTTTTTTTTATTTTTTAATAGCAGCACAGCAATTTTATAAAGAATTTTTTAAAATTCTTAATTCCATTTATTTTTGCTAATATTACTGTTGCCTATATTGTATATTATCTTTTACGACAAATATTTTTGTTTGCACTGTTTTTTTTTTTCAATTAAAATTGCTAAACCTTTTCTCTAATACACTAGACCAGAACTTAAAGGATTGGTGGCTTTTTTTAGCAGATTAAGTTATTGTATTAGGGTGCATGTGTGCAATGAGGCGCAAATGTAATTGGTGAGCTGGCAGAGAAGAAGGATAAGAAAGCTAGCTACTGGTGTTTTTTTATTTTTTAATAGCAGCAGCACAGGTTTGCAACCTGGGAGGGGGGGGGGGGGGTCAAAGTGCTCAGTCTGGGGAAATAGAGCAGGAAGAAGGTTAGGTTTCTGAAATTAGGGGAGGTCCGCTTTAAGCAGTCAGAGTATGTGAATCTACTAGAATTTCACAATCTGGCATTTAGTAGGAATCTTTACAGAGATTCACCTCAGCTAAAACATTTTTAGGGGTTAGCATATACTTTACATTGTGATATGGGGGATGTTTAGCTCTGTGATAGATGTGTTTCAGTGAAGTTCAAACTAGTCCGAACTGTGTTTTAAAGGCTCGTCAGACCACTTTTATTTAAACAAACAAAAAGAAAAGTTCAAATAAAGTTGCCCATGCAGCGGTTTAACTTCACAAGGAAATCGCTCAACTGAAAAATGCTTTGCTACCCAGCTCTCATGTCAGCTGCACTGTTGCTCATGTCGCTGGTCTCCCAGACCATAGGCTCTTCAGGCTCACTTAGTCTTTAGTTACAGACCCTTGCTGCATGGGCCCACTCCTGGCCTGTAGATAGAGGTTCTTCTGACACTCTGGGCTCTCTTACTTCTCTGAGGCTTGGGTTCCCTCAGTCAAATGGACTCACCTTCTCTCCCAGACTCTCTCTTGGTCTCCCAGATGAGTGTAGCTGCCTTGACTCTCTCAGTCTGGTAAACATAGATCTGCTCCAACATGGAGTGCAATCTCTTGAATAGAGCACCTTTCTCTCCAGACAGGATAATATACTTGTCTTCACACAAAGCCCCTGGGCTATGGATAGTTCCTGGCTTATAACGATCATGCACACCTGTGCATCCACATGACCTGCAGGTATCAAGCAAGACCTTGACACAGGATTGAAGGTTACATCCCAAATCTTGGAGCCTTCAAGCTTCAGATCCAATCCAGCACTACAGAAACTGAAGAAAGCTGAAAACACAGTTTTCTCCTCTCACAATATATGTGTCAGTGCTTCTCATACTGTAACTTTGAGAATCCTGTGTCATTTTCATTTATTAGGGCCTAGCACTTTAACAACACGCATATTTGCATTTAACAGTATTTAATTATTTGGATTTCAGTATTGCAGGTTTGATTTCTGTTAGCAGCCTGCTTTCTTTAGTTTTGTTTGAATCATACCATATGGTATCCAGTCTGCACAACATGGTGGTGCATGCTGATTGATGTACTATGTGGGTCTTGGAAACAATAACTCTCAGCATGGTTTCATTAAAAAAAAAGCATAAAACAAGTATAACATTTGCTTGTCTAAGCCACTAACTGAAGATCAGTTCCTGACCAACAGGGTGCATCCCTAATGGGTTCTCCACTCCAACTGTCACAACTTGTACATTTTTATTGTGTTCTACCAGCACTTAAGTTTGTATCTGGCAGTAGTCAGCTACAGCAAATGAGAGAGCTATAGAGCCCTGAAAATTAATCAGTTCATATTTGTAAGGCCTGTTGACAGTTAAAGTGTTACTAAACCCACAACAGTAAAAGCAGTCTGTATATACAGTCAAGCAAGCTTGTCATACTCACCGTGGAACCTAAGGGGTAATCCCCTGCATTGAGTAAAAAGGCTGTTTGATACTTTCTTCTTTGCCCCTCCTCTTGTTGAAATGACCACCTGATACAGACTGAACCCGTGGTCACATGTGCATACTCAGTTTGGTGTGTATTGCTAGAGAGGTTTTTTTTTTCCTGGGAGGGTGCACGTGATCAGCACAGGGGCAATCAGCACTGTCCAGACAGAGCATCAGTGCTTTCACATCCTCCTAGAGCAGAAAGAAAACTCCTACAAGCTTTAACCAGTGCTCTGCTGAAGTCACAAGACTGCTCTAGCTGCTGATGAAAAAAGGTATTTAGCAGTGTAAATTTACTATAATTATTGCATTTCCATGTTATGTGTACTGTGGGAGACCAGATATAGTGAATGCAGGGTTCTGAGTTTAGTTACACTTTAAGTCTAATAATGAGGTCTGTGCTACCAGGACCCAAAAACAAAAGCTATTAATCTGAGAAAAAAAATATATTTTTCCACATCAGTCAAAAACCCTGGAACCCCTCACTCTTTGTATGTGAAATACCTAGGTGACACATACACACATTGTGTCAGAGGACCAATACTCACACAGCTAATGCTAATGCTACAACTAATGCTCATTGCCATGCAGCTAATGCTTGTGCACACAAACCAGCACACAGATGCGCTTGGGCTAATATCTAGCATGCACTGACACACAGGTGCATTTGTGTGCACCAGCATACATACTAGAAATTCTGGAGAAACCATCTGCACACTGCTAATTACCCTTTCCAGCAAATGTTGCAATAAAAACAGAGATGTTTAGTTCACACATATTGCAATACAGACTACCAGACTACCACCTCGGCTCCTGGTCTATCGACAGGTGCAACTGCACCAGTTTCCACTTCCAGAAACTCTCAACCTGTGACTCCTACTGTGGTTATACCACCACCAGAACCTCGAGTGACAACCCTGAATGCTTTTCAATCACAGGAAATTTTGTGTGTTTAAAAATGCATTTGAACTGTACTTTGTTTTGCAACCTCAGAAATTCTCATTGGAATCAGTAAAAGTTAGGTTCAGTATCTCCTTGCTTACTGATGAGGCCCAGTTATGAACACACCACCTGCTGGAACAATGCAATCCTGTCCTTAATTCAGTAGCAACATTCTTTGAATCCATGGTTCACCTTTACGATGATCCTCAACACACAGCTACAGTAGAGGCTGCATTGTATGCACAACATTGCTCCTTCAGACCTACATGGATGATGCCCAAGATCCAGCCCACTTTGTCTACTAATATATACTGTATATACACACAATACACACACTATATTGCCAAAAGTATTGGGATACCCCTAAAAATCATTGGATTCAGGTGTTCCAATCACCTCCATGGCCAGGTGTATAAAATCAAGCACCTAGGCATGCAGACTGTTTCTACAAACATTTGTGAAAGAATGGGTCACTCTCAGGAGCTCAGTGAATTCAAGCGTGGTATCGTGATAGGTTGCCACCTGTGCAGTAAATCCACCTGTGACATTTCCTTGCTACTAAATATTCCACAGTCAACTGTTAGTGGTATTATAACAAAGTTTAAGCAACTGGGAACAACAGCAACTCAGCCATGAAGTGGTAGGCCACATAAAATGACAACGGGGTCAGTGTATGCTGAAGAGCACATTGCGTAGAAGTAGCCAACTGTCTGCAGAGTCAATAGCTAAACACATCCAAACCTCATGTGGCCTTCAGATTAGCACAACAACAGTGCATAGAGAGCATCATGGAATGGGTTTCCATGGCCAAGCAGCTGCATCCAAGCCTTACATCTCCAAGTGCAATGCAAAGCTTCGGATGCAGTGGGGTAAAACACTGCTGGATTCAAACAGTGGAGTCGTGTTCTCTGGAGTGATAAATCATGCTTCTTTGTCTGGCATGTCTGGGTTTGGCGGTAGCCAGGAGAACAGCACTTGCCTGACTGCATCGTGCCAAGTGTATGGTTTGGTGGAGGGGGGGTATTATGGTGTGGGGTTGTTTTTCAGGGGTTGGGCTTAGCCCCTTAGTTCCACCTGCCCGATGAAGGGGTCCTGTGAGACTCTGAAATGTTGCCTTGCTGTAACTATGTGATCGTTCATTAAAACTTTTGGATCCATATTGGTGATCCTCAGTGTGCTGGTGACATTTTCCCTTGTTAGTTCCAGGGAACTCTTAAGGCACCAGTATACCAAGACATTTTGGACAATTTCATGCTCCCAACTTCGTGGGAACTATGAAGCAGAGACTGCCAGCCAAGCCTTCTCGTCCAACATCAGTGCCTGACCTCACAAATGTGCTTCTGGAAGAATGGTCAATATTCCCGTAAACACACTCCTAAACCTTGTGGACAGTCTTCCCAGATGAATTGAAGCTGTTATAGCTGCAAATGGTGGGCCAACTCAATATTGAATCCTACAGACTAAGACTGGGATGACATTAAAGTTAATTTGCATGTAAAGGCAGGCTTCCCAATACTTTTGGAAATATAGTGCAGTGTATATATATATATATATATATATATATATATTATATATATATATACTGTATATATAATCTTTTACCTTCAGGCTGTAATTTAATAAATTGATTTACTGATGGAATCTTACTTGCAGTGTCCAGGTTCTTTGGTTGACCTCAGTGATCTTTTCTACTGTCAGGCTAAGAGCACCTCATAATTATCCAGGTGGATAACAAGTATAGTGCAATGATGGTGAAAGGCCTGATTTTTCTACTAATTATACTGTAGCCAAAAGGATAATTATATGTTAAAGTTAAAAATAATGAAGAAAGAAAACGAGTAGAAATAGGAGTTATTTTGAGTTCATGGCTGCAAGGTTTAAGAAAACTGCTCAGAGATATGTTGATGATGAATAAGGAAAAGACCATGAAATCTTAACTGTTATCAGATATTTGAAAAAATAATACACACAAAGGTTGATGAGAAAATACTGGATGACAATAAATTTGAGGTTTGGGCAATACATAAGTACTAACCATTCAAATTTCAGCAACCACACCTACTAAACAAGTGAGCAAAAGTGGTTCCCAGATTACCAAAAAAAATCACTAGGATAGATTGGTGCACTTGTCAAATGGAGTTAAGCACTACATCATGGGTAAAGGTCACATGTTCCCTCATACCTAGTGGTAAAGGGTAAAAGAGTCAACACGGTAGCAGGTCAACACACCTGCAGAAAGGGAGAGTATCAGTAGGAGGGGGGTCTTTTCAAGAGGGCATGCCATTTGAATCTGAAAGATGGAATAGGCATCTTTATTTTAATTATCAAACCTTATAAGAGGACAATACTTTAAATATCTCACCCTTGGCCGTATAAAGAGAAAACAAATCATGCAGTGTAGGCACTGCATGCCTGGAGGACCTGAGTGAGTTTGCATGTCTGCCCAATGTATAACTGATCTCTATAAACCTCAGCTTAAAGGTGTTTTTTATTTAGCTTGCTAAAGATGTGGGCATGCCACTAATAAATTATCACCTGTTCTGAGCCAGCTGCTATGGCTGCCATGTCTTTATACAACTTCAAGCATGCAACAAAATATATGACAAGTATACCTATAACATTAATTGTAGCAATAGGACTTCTGATATATTATGAACCAACATTCATTTGTTTATATAATATCAAATTTGGACAAAATTTGGACAAAGTCTAGAAGTTGACATCACTCTGTCTGTCACATACAGTATCAGCCTCACAGTGCATGTACCCAGATTAGGTAAAATGTTTTGTTTTGTAAATTATTTCTGCTGTTATTAACCCATATTCTACAATAACTGTCATTAAAATGTATTTGAAGCAAAGCAGAGACTTAAAATAGAAGTAAAGTTCTTTAAAAATAAATAAATACAAATAATGCATATGTTTCATGTGGTATTCTCAACAGATGTCCTGGCTTGATATCTGTTGGTGGCCAAAGTCATTGGCTTGCAACACCTTCTTCCTATTATCTCATATTTCTCCTACATTTGCATAAGGCCAGAACACATCAGTCCTGACTTGTGATTTGCATTCACATTTGACAGCATATTGAAAAACAATAAGTGGCCAATAAAAGACCTGGAGACAGGCAGGACTGGGGTAGGCATACAACAGTTATTACAAGCCCAATTCCTAGCAAAAAGTAGTACTAGTTCTTACAGAGAACTTCCTTTGAAAGAATTATTATATCACTTAACTTGGACAAAAAAAAACCCTTCCTTTATCACTTTCCATTACTACTGAGAAGAAGTAATGGAACAGATCAAGCAAAAAAGGTAACACATATTTGCAAGTAGGTCAGTCGGTACAGTATTTTTGTAAAGATCTGATATGTGATGTATATTTCGTTTTTTCCCAATGGGTTAAATCTAACGAGGGCGTAATGGAGTGTAGTATGTTGAGTGGGGTATGCAGTTGTTTGGAGTCTGCGTAATCTGTGGATAAAAAGATCTTTCCAAGCTTGAAGAGTGGCTTGGATGCATGGGTGTTTTAAGTGATATGTGGTTTGTGAGAATATTGTGGTTAAGAGTAGATGTTGTGATTTAAGTGGAAGGAAGGGTGAGGTTTCCATTATGGACCAGGATTTTTCTCTGGTTTGGTGCCACCAAAAATAAATTTGGTCCATGAGAGTGGCATTATAGTAAGATTTGAGGTGTGGTAGGCTAACCCCTCCTTTGGAGGGTGGTCTGATTAGAAGATTGGTAATACATCAAGGTTTTTTTGGAATTCCATAAGAATCTGGGAAATATCGATTGAAGTTTGGAGAAGAAAGTATTGGGGATTGGTATAGGGAGAGTGCGAAAGATATAAAGAATTTTCAGTAGGATGAGCATTTTTAGTTTCGCTACTCTGCCTATTTTAGATAATTCTGATGTACGAAGGTTGGCAAATTCTTGGGGTATAGTTTCAAGTACTTTTTTATGATTCTAATTAAATAGTTGGTCTGTTGTAGCAGAGAGTTTGATTCCCAGATATGGGATGGGTATTTTTTTCCCACGTGAAGAGGAAGTGTTTAGCAAGGGATAGTTGAGTGAAATATGGTGTGTGGAGGTTTAAAATTGAGGATTTGGGCTCGTTTAGTTTATAATAGGAGATTATCGTATATTGCTGGAGATGGGTACGAAATGTTTGGAGGGATTTGAGTGGGTTGGTAATCATCAATATGATGTCGTCTGCAAATAGGCTAATTTTGTGCTCAGTGTTAAGGTGCCGTATGCCAGTGAACATTGGGTCATCCCGGAGTTTAGATGCTAGGGGTTCAATGAGTAGTGCGAATATGATAGGAGATAGAGGGCAGCCTTGTCTGGTGCCATTGGTAATATCAAAGGGATCTGATAGTGTTCCATCTGTTAACACTCTGGCTGAGGGGAGGGAGTATAGTGCCAAAATGGCTGTTAACATTCAACCTGTGATGAAAAATTTTTGTGGGGTCATTTGCAGAAATAGAAAGTGTATGCGGTCAAATGCTTTTTCGGAGTCTAACGATAAAAGCAATGAAGGTTGTTTGGTTTGCTCTAAGCGATGGATGAGGGATATGAGTCTTCAAGTAGCGTCAGGTGCTTGACGGGCCTGGTATGAATCCCACCTGGTCTGGGTGTATCAAAGTGGGAATATAGGGGAGTAGTCTGCGCGCTATAATTTTTGCATAAAGCTTGACGTCTGTGTTAAATAAGGAAATTGGTCTATAATTTTGGACATATTGCGGATCTTTGCCAGGTTTTGGTATTGTGGTTATTGTCGACTGTAGCATGTCTTTGGGGAATGTGCCGTTGATGGCTGCGTGGTTAAAGAGTCTGGTCAGATATGGTGAAAGCTTAGGGGCAAATTGTTTGTAGTACTCGTTTATATAGCCATCATTTCCTGGAGACTTATTAAGGGGAGTGTGTTTTAATGACGGATTCTATTTCAGTGGAAGTGATTGGTATTGATAGGTCATCAAGTTGGGTTGAAGAAAGTTGAGGGAGTTTAATTTGTGTGGAGGAATTGTTGTATGGACGTGGGTGTTGGTTGGAAGGTGTTAGGGTCATCTTTAAGGTTATATAGTTGTTGGTAGTAGGTCGCGAAGGCATTAGCTATATCTTTGTGGCTAAGGTTCTTGAGGATGGATGATAAATTGTGGATATTTTATTTCTTAGTCGTCGTTGTTTAATCATTTTGATTAGTAAGGAGTTGGCTTTGTTGCTAAGGAGTAAAATGTAGTTTTTGTTTTTTGAAGGTTGAGGTCATATTTGTAGAGCAGGAGGGTTCTAAGTTTATTTCTGTCAGTGGTGAGTTGGGCGGCTGTTGTAGAATTTGTTTTTTGTTTAATTTTTTTCTTTTGTTTTAATTGAGAGGAGAAGTTCCTCAATTTGTCGGTTTCTCTGTTTGGAGGTACGGGAGTTTAATTGTATAAGGATACTTCTCATGTATGCCTTATATGCAGACCATAAAGTGGATACCGATATTTCAGGAGAGTCATTTATGTCAAAAAACATGTTGTGTGCATCTAATATAGCTTTTTTGTGGTCTGGGTTCTTCAATAAAAGAGCATTAAGTCTCCAGATACGGGGGATTGTTGAGTGTTGATTGTGATCTAAAGAGATGGAGATTGGAGCGTGATCAGACCAGGTTATGGTACCAATTTTGGAAGATGTGGCATGTTGCAGCGTCCACTTGTCCGTGATGAAAAAGTCAATTCTGGAGTATGAGAGTTGAGAGGAGGAATAGTAGGTGTAGTCTTTTTCCGTACTGTGGTGTCAGCGCCATATGTCATAGTAGTCATTGTTATGTAGAAAGACGTTAAGAGATTGTTTGGAGGAGCGTTTGCTGGAAGAAGAGTCCAGTAGAGGGTTGCCGATGATGTTGAAGTCTCCTCCTATAATTTGTCTGCCTTGTTTTTGAGCAGAAATTGTGGAATTGATTTTATTGTAGAATTGCAATTGGTTGGTGTTCGGACCATAGATGTTGACCAGGGTGTATAGAATTCCATTAATTTTGCATATCAGGATATGGTAGCGACCCTGTGGGTCTGCGACTTCTGAAATGCAGTGGTATTGGAGAGAATCTTTTATGGCCGTGATGACGCCTTTTTTCTTTTTGGGGTTGGTTGCCATATAAATTGGTGAGAAATGGTGTATGCGGAAGTTGGGGATTTTGTTGGTGGCAAAAAGGGATTCCTGAAGGAATATGATATCAGCTTGCAAGGAGCGAGCCTCTTTTTGTAGTAGAGATCTTTTGAATGGCAAGTTGAGGCCACGGACATTTAAAGATGAGATTTTAATCATAGTTCTGGATGTAGGCGAGTTAATCAGAGTAGCGGAGGTATTTTGTGAGTCATGCAGAGTGAAGGCATATCTTTTTGTCGTTTTGGAGAAGTTTGTGTAGGTCGGCATTTAGAGTGAGGAGGGGTTGAAACGATCGGCTGGTAGAGGTAGGAGGGAAAGGGGGTAAAAAAACTTGTTGAAATACAAGTGGTATGTGTAGCACTTATTGCTACTGAATGACGGGGAATTGGAGCATACATGACTCGCGTAGCAAGTCATGTTGCCGAGCACTTGGGGTTCAATGATGGTCGTAAATGGGGCCGTCTGCCAGCCATTAGTGGTGGATAGAGTCCAAGCTTGTTGGGTGGTTGTTGATGGTGATGATCTCAGGATCCTGACCATTCAGCTTCCATGCGCTGTATATGGTTAGAGGCGGGTTGGTGAGATTCTGCCGGTAGGATATTCCAGCTTTCAGGAGATCAATGCCTGCCTCAAGGGATTTAATCGTAAAGAGCCTTCCTTGCTGTTTTTTAACAATGAGCTCTGTGGGGAAGCCCTATTGGTAGCCAATTCCGTGTGTTCTGCAATGGTTTTGTAATAGTAACAAGCTTCTTGCGGTTGAGAAGTGTGGCTTTAGATAGACCTGCAAATAATTTTTATATTTGCTTGGTCTGGTGGTAATGATTAGAGATGAGCGAATTATTCAAAAATTCGGTTCGGCTGATTCGCCGAATTCGCGGAATAAATTCGCTTCGAGCCGAATATATTCGCTGCGAATTTAACTTATAAAAAGGGTGTTTCTAGGCTTCAGAGAGCCTTTATATTAGTGCAGAACACTGTACCTTTAATTTAAATGCCCTTGGAGTCTGCTGGGGAAGAGAAATAATACTGTCAGTCAGTATGACATGCAGATGAGTGCCGTCGATCTTAGAATCACCGCACACTTCACTCATTTGGGCAGTCACGGGGCCAAAACCGAGTGTGGAGCCACAGTGTGGCGGTGGAGGCAGCAGCAATGGGAGGCCATACAGCACCCTATGACAAAATGGAACCCACCAGCAGTGTGAGGAGACCTGAAAGTGGCACATGGCAGAGTGTGGCGATGGAGGCAGAAGCAATGGGAGGCCGTACAGGGACCCATGACACACTCTGGACTTGGCAGCAGCATGAGGAGGCGGTACAGGGGCCCATGACAGATTACGGGCCTGGCAGCAGCATGAGGAGTCGGTACGGGGGCCCATGGCAGATTACGGGCCTGGCAGCAGCATGAGGAGGCGGTACAGGGCCCATGGCAGAGTGGCGGAGCGTAAGCAGCTAAAATTGAAGGCCATACCAGAGGCCTATGTTAAAAAGTCCCCCCAGCAGCAGCGTGGGAGACGACTATCAAGAGTCCAATGGCAGAGTGGCGGAGCAGAAGCACCTTCAATTGAAGTCCATACACAGGCCTAGGTTTTTAAAAGTTCCCTCACAGTTAATCCAATAACGAACTCTACTCCTCCGTGCAATCTACTTACGAGACCCTGGGCAGGTCTGGGTCCAATTTGTGGTAGAGACTGGTTTTGTTCAGCCATGCTTGAGCGAGTAATAACAGGTCTGTGCTGCCCTTTGGTGTCTGGCTTAAATGCGCGCAACAACACTGAACGTCCCAGCGTTTGTCAACGATTTGCCGTTAAGTGATGCAAACCCGCTGAACCACGTTCATGAGGAGCCGGTACAGGGGGCCATGAATCAGTATGGACCTGGCAGCAGCGTGAGCAGACGACAGAGGCACATGGCGCAGGGTGGCGGTGTAGCAGAATTATTCTGAACCATACACAGGCCTAGGTTTAAAAAGCGGAAGCCGCAGCAGCGTGAGCAGACGACAGTGGACACATGGCGCAGGGTGGCGGTGGATGCAGCAGTATTCGGAAGCCAAACACAGGCCTCGGTTAAAAAAGCGGAAGCCGTCAGCAGCGTGAGCAGACGCAGAGGCACATGGCGCAGGGTGTGTGGTGGAGGCAGCAGCAAGGAAGGCCATACAGGGAACCCCATCACAAAAAAGGAACCCCCAAAAAGGGTGGAGACCTGAAAGTTGGGGCCCTTTGGCCAGCTCATTC